GGGGTTAAGAAAGAAGTCTCATTTGAATTCTGAACTTTTGAACTGGTTTTGGCCCTGAGGGTAATTGTAAAACTTATGCAATTTCTAAATTACAGCTACTGACTAACTTCCCTGGAGAGAACATTTTCTCTCTTGCTTGCCTTTTATTAGATTACATATTGATATGATCACAGAGATAAAGAAAAAATACACATACTTTCATCAGTATGATGGAAATAGTATGATTTGCTTGTCTTTTGTAGAAAACTGAATGGTAAATTTGCTAGACATCTATAAAAGTTTCCCATTTGAGCTGCTTTTTCACAATTGGTATAATAAAAACGGATGATGATGATGATAGCTAATATTAATACAGTGCTTTAAGATTTACAAAGTGCTTTACAAATATTATCTCATTTATCTTCAAAACAATCCTGGGAGGTAGGTGTTATTATCATCTCCATTTTACAGGTGAGGAAATTGAGGCAGACAGAGGTTAAGTGACTTGCTTGAGGTCACATAGCTAGTAAATGCATAAAGTTGGATTTGAACTCAATTCTTTCTGTCACTAGGTCTACAGTCTCTCTCCACTGTGCCACCTCAGTTTTTTTTAAAGATTTTACATAATTTTATCTTCACAATAACCCTGCAGTGAAGGTAATACAATTGTTGTTATTGTTATAATCTCCATTTAACAGATGAGGAAATTGAGGCCTAGAGATTGATTTGCCCAGAGATATCCACTCTATTTGATTCCAGGTAAGTCCAGGTTTTTTTGTTTTATTTTGGTTTCTTTTTAATTTGGATTATATCAATAGCATTCTAACTGAAATAAAACTCATATTATCTCTTAATATGACTAAATAGATGTGTCTACCAGAATGTTCTAAAGGAATAAAATCATTGCTAATGATATTTAAAAAAAAAAAAAGATCATCCCAGTGCATATACTACTTTGTAAGAGGAAGTGAGACATTTTTGTTCAATTCAATAAATTGAATTGAACAAATCAATCAATAAACATATACTGAACACCTCTTATGTAAAAAGTACTGTGGTAGGCCTAGGAAGAGATATAGAAAGAATAAGACACTATTCCTTATTCTCAAAGAATTAACAGATGAGATATAGTTTATATGCACAGAAGTTTCTGAGACAAAATAGAATATGAAATTGCATGAGATGTAAAAACAAAATGAATTTACATAATGACAAGACAATTTATGGTTTAGTGATGGCAGGGGGAGGTTTAGGGAACAGGAATTAGGGAAGATTAAGTAATGAAGATTTCATTTAAATTAGGTGGCCCAGTACAGTAGGTAGCAAGATGGAACTGGGACAGAGTGTTGGACCTGGAGTCAGGAAGACTTAAGATCAAATTCAGCCTCAGATACTTGCTTCCCTGGGAGAGTTACATAAGCTCTGCCTGACTCAGTTTCCCTGTTCATAAATTAGTGATAATAATAGCACTTACCTCCCGAAGTTATTGTAAGGAAGAATGAAGCCAATAGCTGTAAAGCACTTTACATACCTTAAAATGTCACATAAATGCTATCTATCAATATCATAATACTTTATTTCCAACCTGGTTGCTACCTTCTACTTCATGATCTCCAGAAACTCATCATTCTTTAAGACTGCATCAATTTTCAAACTCCCATCTCCTCCATACCCCTTCTCCCTTCCTCCTTCCTTCTGATTGGAGAGGGTGGAGGGTAGACACTGGAAGGAGAACTCTTCCCAGATCCACCATCACTTAAGGAGGGAGGCCTTAGCATTCACCTCATCATTTCCCATCCTGCTTCTCCTTTCCATTTCATGATCTCCTGAAACTCATTATCTTAGAAAATGAAATTAACTGTAAATCACACCTCCTCAGAACCCACTCCAGCTGCAGGACATCATCACCCTCCTACCATTTATCTCTTTGGTGGTTGGTATCCCCTCCCCCTTTTAGCTTTTTCATATGTGTTGTCTTCCCCAATTAGATGGTGAGCTCCTTGAGGGCAGGGATTATCTTATGTTTTTCTGTATACCCCCAGTGATAAGCAAAATACCCGGCATATAGTCAGTAATTAATAAATGTTTAATTAACTATTATGGGTAGAGTTTTAACTGATAAGAAAATAGGCAAGGGGATTCTAAATATAGAGGAAATTACATGGCTTTTGAAAATGAACTTATATTTCTTTTAGGTTAATAAATTTAACCTTTGATTATAAATTCAGTGGGATATTTTTTATCTTTAAAAAATAATGTGTAGACTTGCATTGCTTGACTATGTTAACTTGTTACATGGAAATTTTTTTTTGGGGGGAAAGCTAGTGATAGCAACCCCAAGTTAAGGAAGGAAGAAAGAAAAAAAGTATCAACAAAATATTTAAAGAAAATACACAGAAGACATAAGAAGGAAATTCAGTGTTAACATAGACAAATGAGAGCTTTGGAACCAAGGTTCTGAATTGAATGTATGTAATAGATAATGTGATTTGCAGTTTCACATAAAATCTACTTTTTCTAGTTTTCTTCGTATATGTAAATGTTTGCACTTATCAAGTTCAGAATAAATGTTTTTGTTTTGTTTTTGTTCAGTTTACTAACAAAAAAAGAGTTAATACAAAACCCTATTTGCTTGACCCAGGAAAGTAGCTTACAATCTGGAAGAATATGGTTCATTATGAGTAGCATAGCGTAGGAGATAAAAGGTTAGCTTAACAGTTAAGAAAACTTGGGTTCAAATCATGCCTCTAACACATAATAGTTATGTGACTAGACTGAACAAGAAAACACTTATTGGATTAGTACTCCCCAGGCAACTCTCAAAGACTGTAGCTTATGGAAATTGCTGATCTGTAGCAATGGAGTTTTCATAATGAGTATTCCTTTGCCTAATGAAGTTACATCAGGGTCAAAAGTATAAGATGCCACTAGAATCTGTTAGTTAACCCAGCAGAATTTGCTGACAAATACATAATAACTCTGGACACAGTAGGCATGTTTTAAATGTTTGTTGACTGAATTAATGAATGAACATAGAAGGCTGCATAGTATAGTGGAATGATCACTGAATCTTGATTCAGAAGACATTAATTCTATACTCACTCTTTCATTAACTAGCTCTATGACTTTTGACAATCAACCTCTATAGGCCTGAATTTCCTCACTTGTATAATTAGATGGTAGGAGAGAATGATGTTGGGGGTCCTTTCCAGCTCTACATAATATAATCCTACTAGGGATATTAGTAAAAATACTCATTATGTTTCTGTCTTCTACTTTTTCACCTAAGTGCCTTCATTCAAAATTTATATCTTATAATCCATAAATATTTTGAACACAAAGAAATAGATATAGAAAAGTATATCTGTCACATAAATATGCCAATCATCAGTAATTCTGCTTCCACATAAAATAATGTCAATCATGCATAGTATTTACACAACCTTTATTATCAAATGTGTTGGCTTAAAAATCCTATGCAGTGTAATAGGAACATAATTGTCATTTTTATTGTTTACTATGCCATGATTTTTGAGCCTCAAATTATTACCCAATAACTCCAATAAGTACATGTAATTTCACCACAATTCAAAGACTTCCAAAACACTGAATATCCATTTAATCCAAATGGCAGAGGTGAACCCAATCAAGTTGATTCCTTAACCCCTACTCAGGAATGATTCTAATCCAATTTGGCTAAATCCCCTAGAGTAGCAACTGGTTGCTACCACATAAAAGCAGTGCAGTTTAGAAGGGTCATGTAGACATAATTTGAACTCAAGTCATCTGACCATGAAGTCCCAAAGAGGTTTAAAAAACATAGATTGTATTTATATCCCCCAAATTTGAGAGACCCAGAGGAAGGCCATGCTCATCCTAGGTGGACCCACTGTGGAAGTTTTATGAACCATAGAGGGAAAGAAACCATGGAAGGATTGTGACCTATATCTCTGTGAAGATAAGTACTCACATCAATATCAGAGTTCGACTGGAGTATTAAGAATGCTGTTATAAAAAGAATACAGGACCTGGATACAGGATAATTAGGCTTCCATCCAGGCTTTCATACACATATTATACACATATAGACACGTTTGTGTGTGTGTGTGCATGCGCGCACGTGTGTGAACTTTGGCAAATCACTTATATCCTCTGAGCCTCACTTTCCTGATCTATGAAATGGGGATAGGATTTACACTACCTAATTCATAAAGTTGAGGGGGGGAACTCCTTAAAGTACAATATGAACGTGAACTGGTATTTCCGTTGTTCAGTTGTTTCAGTTACACTCGACTCTTCATGATCCCATTTGGGGATTTCTTGGCAAATATACTGGAGTGGTTTGCCATTTTTTTTTTCTTCAGCTCATTTTATAGATAAGGAAACTGAGGCAAACAGGGTTAAGTGACTTGCCCCTCTAGGGTCACACAACTAGTAAATGTGTGAGGCCGGATTTGAAGTTACAAAGATGAGTCTTCCTGACTCCAGTCCCAGCAGTCTATCCACTGTGTCACCTATCAGCCTAGTGAGTTGGTGTTACATATTTTAAAAACCAATTAACTTACAAATTCTACCATTACCAAAGGTTAAATAGATAAATTATCTACTACACCATAGACATCAATTTTGGGTTCTGCTAGAAAAGCTAGAGCTTCTTTTGAAAGACAACATCCTACTTCTATTTATCTGGCATAAAACTACAGCTCTCCTAAGACCCATAAGCCTTAGACAAAGGGCAACTTCTCTAGGCCTCAGTGTTTCATCTGTAAAATTTTGGACTGAATGATCTTGGGTCTTGGGTCTTAATACTACGATCTTATAATTTGTGAACCAATGACATGAACATTCCTATTTTATCGTAACTATGACATGGAGAGAGGTGAGATTTTAGGTCATGAATATTCAAACTTGAAAAGGTTTGGTAGGCCAAAGTCAACACATTGGATTTCATATTGATGATAAAACAGAGGTACAAAAGCTCAAGTCAAATGGGATGCCTTGACCTCCTATTTCATGAATACCTGTGAATTAGATGATTCAAAGTTGATAAGCCCCTTCTGGACACCTGGCATCCTGTAGATACTCTAGATTTTCAATGTTGCTCTTCAAATCTGGTGGCTGGAAGTGAACCGATTGTTGAGATAAAGGTTAACCAATGACAGTTTTCTTGAGATGCTCAAGAATGCATGATATTTTGGGGCTGCCAATAAATCAATCAACAAGTATTTGCTAAGCATTTACTATGTGCCAAGTACTATGCTAAGTACTGGCCAAGTTCTTTTACTGACACTTGTGCTTGAATTAACCAAAATCCCTAAAGGTTGTATCACACAACTCTGTTAATTTAGCTGATCTTCATTTATTCAGTACTTCCTCTTGCTCATTAGTATTTCATATAAAATCACATAGTGTAAACTATAGGCTCATTTTTCATTGGTACCTACAATTAAAGGGGAAAATACCTTATTTTATACTTCCATTGAGGCTCTGGAAGTATATTTTCATTTTGATAATATATAAATCCCAAATTAATGGTAAATGTAAAGTAACGAAAATTTTCAATCATGTTACATATGCAAAAATAAATGTAGTCTCACCTATGATTCAAAATGAGTCATATTGTGAAGTATATTATGGGTTCAACTTTAGTCATTTAACTTGATATATTATCTAAAAACCCCGGTATCTTTTTTTTAGACTTATATTTACCTGTCTTTTTTCTTCACTTTGAATTCTAGTGATTTCTCATTTCTGCTTTTTCATCCAAATAAACTGAATAAATCAAGATTAATTGAATACACATGAGAATGGGGAGTATTAAAGAGGGGTGCTTGGCATGGAAAATAGTAAAGGGGATTATGGTATTATGATAACTGTTTTTGATGGGCTGTCATGGATATGAGTGATTATATACAAGTTTTTTGGGGGTGGGGGGTCCCATTGGATTGAACTGGAACAAGTGAAGGAATATACTGGGTAGGTAGGTGGTACAGTGGATGGAGGGTTGGACTTGTAGTCAAGAAGACCTGAACTCAAATACTGCCTTAGACACTTCCTATTTGATTCTTCATGTATCACTTACCTTCTCTAAATCTCATTTTCCTCATCTGTAAAATGGGAGTAATAAGTTAGCACCTACGTTTCTGGGTTATTTTAAGAGTAAAATGAGATAACATATAAAGCACTTTACACACCTAAAAGTGCCATATAAATACTAACTTTTATTATTATTATAGATGCTACTTAACAATATTTCAACGAACATTATCTCATTGGTACAGGTAAATCTTCATTAATGAAGATTGCAATTCCTTTACAACTTGGTTGACAGTTGTGAAGAGTTGCTGTATTTGAAGCTGCCATCTCCTTGTAATCAACCTGAAAATAAGCCACTCTTCACTTAGCTAGACTGGCATTCAAATTGTTGACAAATCTATTGTTGGAGTAGCACTCAAAGACCAAGAACCTACCTGAACTTCTTTTCCACTGAAATAGTCTATGAGAATCCAGGATTATCTTGACACAATGTTGAAGTATCCAACCCATATGCAAAAGGAATTCTCACTATAACATACCTGACAAGAGGTTGTCCAGATTCTGCTTGAAGACCTTTAATGAAGATTAATTCCTCTTGGATCCCTCTACCTGTTAGCAAGTTTTTCCTGCCATGAAACCAAAATTTACTTCTTTGAAACATTCATCTCTTGTTCCTGGTTCTGTCCTTTTGGGCCAAATAGAATAGGTCTAATCTCTTCTTCAAGTAATAGCTACAGCTCTCACCCTTCCAACCCCAACCCAAAAACCTCAACTTCTACCAAATCTCCTTCAATTGATTCTCCTATTTCACAAACTCAAGGACCTTTAGTATCCTAGCTGCCATCTTCTAGATACTCTCTAGTTTAGAAATACCTGTAAATGTTAGTGCCCAGGACTATTGTGTATCCAAATTCTCTACATGTGATTTCATTGGTACAGGGAACTCCCAAAAGAGAGGGTTCCCGCTACCAAGTGCAACTTCCAGTCTTAAAGAGCTGCCTAGGGCGGAGGTGTCAAACTCAGCAACCAATCTCCCCAGTGCAGCAGGAACTAAATTTAAATGTAATTGTGAAATACTTAACAAAATAAATAAAAATACAATAGAACACAGATAATGTTTAGTTATGGTTTTATAAGGCAATATGCAGCCCTCAGGGATCTGTTTCTATTTGATTTTAATATCACTGTACTGACAGCACACAACAATTATGTGTCAGAAGGACTTGAGCCCAGGATTTTTTTTTTGTTTCAAGGTTGGCTCCTTATCCATTAGACCATATTGCCTCTCACATGAATGTGATATTCCAATCAAACAGGACAACTGTCTATTCTCAAAACTAACACCTCTGCACATTTACTTAGAACATTCTTTTTGCCTCCCCCTTCACCCTTTACCTGTCAACACTTTTACTCCTCCAAAATCTAGTTCAAGTTAACAAAGAAACCTTTCCTGAAAGGGTTCTCTCCCCATTCAAAGTTTTCTAGATCTCTCTTTTACCTTTATCACATTCTATTGTGTATTCAAATTCTCTACATAAATATTATGTTCTTTATGGCAGAGGCCATTATCATCTTTGGATGCTCAGGGTCTAGCATGGTGCCTCACATATACAGCACAATTAAGAAACACATTGACTTGCATTTGATTATATATAGGAATGAGCTAGATAACACAAGACTTTTTCTGATTTTGAAATTATACACATTCATGATTCATATAAAATTTTGTGTTGTTGTTGGCATCTTTCTGGATTCTAAAGTTCTGTAAAGTATGTGAATAGGTTAAGTGAAAGATACATTAGCAAGAAGTAGGACTCTGATAACCCCTCCCAGAGCTAGATTTGCCCATGTAAGTTTGTGAAAACTCAAATGACTAAACTAGAAATTCACATTCCCTTATTACTTATACTGGTTTGGAGGGTAGATGTGCAGGGCTTCAAAAAAACACTAGCTGAGCTCAAGAGATGAAAGCTCAGCAAGTCTATTTTAAACTTAAAATTAATGCATTCGGCCAGTATTACAGTTTAGGAGAAATAAGTACAACCAAGCAATGAAAACTAATGACTATCAGCAATTTTCTGTTAGATAAAGCCAACTATGCTTTGTAAATGATACTTAACAATCAGTTCTTCCCATAATGCAACTTTCTCAAATGTTCACAAACCTGTTTGGCATTTGTTTCAAGGAGATGCAGTAAAAAGGGCTTCTTGCCCATCACACTTTCCTTGTAAAGAAACATGTTCATTTGCAATAATAATGAACTGGAACTGCTGACTCCTAAAATATGTAAACAGCTTTGTATTTCTAGTATGCATTTCAAATAGTAAGAAATAGTCCTCTTTCCAGCTTCAACTAATTGGTTTATTGTCCCAATGAACTAGAGACAAGAAAAATAGTTGGTTGTGGGGCTTTCATCATAGATTATTCTAAGAAATAACTCATTGAAGCCACTTGAAGCTCAGACACAAGCAGCTACACATGGGTATATGTCTCCAGAGGATTCATTAAGTGAATGCCATTCTAGTTTGTGGAATCAACAAATGAACAATACTCTAACCTTTACACACAATAGCCTCCAAACTGTGTTCTTTATTTCTTTACCAACACATCAGAATAACTTCATAGCAGAAATACTTGAATAAGAAGTTCCATTTTTTTTCTATTTAACTGAAAGAATTTCAATTTCTATTTAGTTAAATAATTTTATCCTTCAATAAGAATAGTAATAGAGCTTATCACATAAGCTAAGTTGGACTTTGGGGAAGACAAGATAGGGAGGAACCTACAGTTAAATATGGAAGTAGGAGAAAAAAGTATGTAACAAGATGCATTTAATATTGCTCCTAATAAATGTATTTATTTTTAATCTCAGAAAATATTTCTTTTCCTGGTACATAGGTATTTATTTTGTGACATCACTGTGATTGAATTACATCAAAAACTCAAAGCCAAAGTTATCCTGAGGATGCAATTCAAATGGGGGAGGAGGGGAGAGGGTAGCGATTTTCAAAACTTGCCTTAGGGACCGTTGCATTCCTGGTATTTCATTTTTTAAAATGTGACATCTGACTTTGACTCAATTAATAAAATAATAAAATGATGGAAGTTTCAATTTGCACATTTTGCTTCTATGCATTAGGGCATATCTATTAGGGCATGCTATCAAATTTCCTTTTAAGTGGAAAGAGGTAAGTGCAATTGACAAGGATCTTTAGCAGTGCCTGTGAGGATCTTACTGATGGATTCTAATTCATAAATATGTGATACATTGTATAAATCAAATATTTGCCTACTTTTTTTGCCTTTTGGCTTTGTCTTGTACACTGATGTCTCATGGCGTTATTAACTTCCATTTGACCAATTATAATTTTTGAGGAGTTATTTTCTTCACTGATGTTTTGAACTTCTTTTACCACTTGGATAATTCTTTTATTTATTTATTAATTTATTTTGACTTATCAACAATCACTTCCATATGCTTTTGAGTTTAAAATTTTTCTCCCCCTTCCTCCCCACCACCCTCCCCAAGAAGGCACACAATCTGATATAGGCTGTACATTTACATTTCTATTACATTTTGATTTTAAGGATTTATTTTCTTCAGTATGTTTTTTCTTACACCTCTTTTACCATTTGACCCATTCTCATTTTTTTTCTGTAATTTTTTTTTTTTTAGGCAATTCGGGTTTGAGTTGCCCAGGGTCACACAGCTAGTAAGTATCAAGTGTTTGGTCTGAGGCCTGATTTGAACTCAGGTCCTCCTGACGTCAGGGCTGGTGCTCTATCCACTGCGCCACCTAGCTGCCCCAGACCCATTCTCATTTTTAAAGGAGGTTTTTTTTTTTGAGTAATTTTGTGCCTCTTTTACCAACCAATTCTCTCTTCATAATTTTCTTGCATAGCTCATTTCCTTTTCTATTTTTCTCTTCACTACTTTTATTTCATTTTTTAAAAAAAATCATTTCTTAATCTTTGTTCTTTTATAACTTTTTCTTAAATTCTTCTAGGAATTAGTGTTGGGCTTGTGTCCAGTCTACATTTTTTTCTTGAAGATTTGCTTGTAAATATTTTAAGCCATTGTCTTTTGAGTTTTCCTGTCACCATAGTAGCTTTTTATGCTCAAGCTCCTCCTCCTCCTATTTTTCCTCTTCTTCTTCATCTTCTTGTTTCCTCATTTGTTCTCACCTACTCCTTGACTTTGGACATTTTGTTAGAGCTGGACTCTGTTTACCTGGAGGGGGGCATAGTTGGGCTGAGCTGTTGTCTTTGATATCTTGCTTTCACAGCTCCTTCTGAGGTGAGTTGTTGGTGATTCCAATGTGGTATGATCCATGGAGAGATCTGGGCACTGCCCTTCTGTTCTTACACAGGTAGGGCTTCTACTACCCTCGTGACTAGGATCACTCCTCTCAGTCCTGGAACCTATGAAGCAGACTGAGTAATGGGCAACAGAGCTGCCAAATGGTCCCCAATCCTGCTCCCAATGCTAGTACAATGATCCTCTGGTTTCTCTTTCTGGCCAGGTTCTCAATTTCCTTACTGTCCCTCAGCAGTGTTGCTGCCCCACAGTCCATGCCTCTTCTGATCCAGTACTGGAGCCAGTTCCTACCCCAATGTTCACAGACCTCTTTTTCTATCTTTTTAAGCTGCCCTGGGCTGGGAAAAGAACTATGACTTTTTTTCTTTCCTGATCAGAATTCTGTTTGATGTTTTTGTTTTTGTTGTTGTTGTTGTTGTTTTGGTTTGGTTTTTTTGTGGTCATTTTTTAGGAGAGATGTACTTTTAGGGGGTTGGCAGTTGTGACCTTTCACTCTGCCATCTTAACTACACTCTCTCAAACATTTATCTCAGCAAGTTTGTACTTCACTATTTATTTAATGGATCTGTAATCTTATCAATATGGTCACTACTTCCAACTGTGTAGACAGTGACTTACAGTAACTTGTGACTATATCCTCCCATAAATATTTCAGAGCCCCCCTCTCCACTGAAATAATCATGCCCTTCATACACAATCCTTTGTGTGCCTTCATGTTATGCGAATATGAGGGCTAACAATTACCTTTTGATGTTATAACTTGCTCTCAATACATGACCAACCTACCTCTCTTTGCACTTAAACATCTCTTATGAGATCCTGTACACCACCTTATAGACAATTAGTTATGTATGTTATGTAGTGCATGCCCACTACACAGCTCTCCATTGTGATTTCCATGATTTATGTTGCTATTTAAAATCACCAGTATATGGACATTCAAAAGATTTTTTGGCTTGTTTATTTCAGGGATAATCTTGTAAAGCCTATACCCTTATTTTCTTCCTATTGTTGGTACCAGGTGTTACCCTGGATAGAGCAAAGGATTTGTAATTAAGGAAACTTAGGTTTCAATCTTGGTTCAGACATTTACTAGCTGTGTGACCCTTTCTTTTCTTCTATCAGTCTCAGTTCTTCATTTCTAAAATGGGGATGTCAAATGAAATTACGTATATAAAAGAAAACTTAAAATGCCAAATAAAAGCAGCTACCTCTTGCTGCTGCCACTGCTAGTACTAATTCTACTATTATGGTATTGAATCCCTCCATAATAATCAAAAGATGAGAAGACTTAAAGCTGAAA